CTTCTCCCTCCCTCCCCTTCTCTCTAATTTAAAGAGAGCCATCCTCTACCCATTTTCTCAAAATAAAAATCCAGGAGTCATGTTTTACTTCTCCCTTTCCTTTACCACCCATATGAAATCCACCACCAATTTTTTGTTGAATTATACCTCCAAAATATATCTCAATTTTTCCACTTAAATCTATCTTTACTACATCTACCACCTTATAACAAGCACCATTAACTTAATGAAGAGAACCCCCCCACCCCAGAAAAAACTTTTTCATCGGTCTCCTTGCTTCCAATATGGCTCAACCTCTATATCTAAGCCTTTCTTTTTATTATGCAGCGGCCAAAGAGATCACGTTATAATCTGAGTCACACCAAGTCATTCCCTCCACCTAAAAAACTCCAATGGCTTCCAGGTTCACTAAAATTACAAAAGGCCCTGAATGCTCTGGCCTCTGCTTACCACCAGAAGCTAGTCCTGTGAGATGCTTCCTCTTGTTTTCTTACTACTTTCCCAGAGTTCCTTTCACCAGACTCCCTTCACTGTCTGAATCACACTAACTTACCATCTACCTTAGAATCCTTAAACTTGCTTTTTCTTTTTTTTTTTTTCCTGCCTGAGAACAATTTTTGCTTACCTTTTCCATGTCTGTCCCCTTTAGGGCTCAACTTACAAGATTTTCTTCACCACCGTATCTGAAATAGATCCTTTACTCAGTTTTCTCTATTTTAGCATGTTATTAGATTGTTCCACAGCATTATCTTTAATATTTTGTTATTTGTTTCTTTGTTATTTGTATCTCTCTACACTGCTTAGCTATAAAGTTCACAAGGGCCTGTGTCTTATTCAGAATATCTTTACAACCTCACATTGTTCCTGATACATAGTGGTCTCAATATCTATTGGTCCAATAAATGAATGCATAAATGATAGTGACAAATCAAAAGAGAATGAAGCTTTATTTTTCTGTTGCCCTGTGGATTTGTGTTCTTTTTTCTACATATTTTAAAAAATCTATTCTCTGTAGACATTCAGTTAATAAGGCTAGCACATGGTTAGTGCATTAATGTAATTTTAGATTAGGATATAGATCATTTGAAAACTTTGCAAGGATATTTTTATTTGTGTGGGAAAATTATTCCAAATTTACCTAAGTGTATATACTCCTCCATATTTGCTTTTCCATTTTAAAATGTTATTAAAGCTTTAGAATAAACGTTCTTATTTCACTCCTTTGGGGGAAATGTAGTTTTGCTTATTTTAATAACCTACTTAGGAACAAGAAGGTATGTTAATGAAAATTTCACTCTTGGTAAACAGAAGGATGTAAGAAAGCTTTAGAAGTGGATGTAGCAACAGACCAGCTGCCTAGTCTATTAGTTGCCTATTAGTAGTTTTAGAGTTCTTGAGCAATTCATTGGAACTTTTCTCAGCCTCCCCTCTAACATAGGGATGATGCCCACCTTGCTTATCTCTTCGTGTTGTTATGAGAATCTTATTAAACATTGTATGCAAAAAGGTTTCCAAACTGTAGAGGACACCATTAATGTGAAGTCCCAGCTATGTTGGCGAGCAACCTTGCAAAACTGACCTAATGGTCTGTTCCCATTTCAGGGAGGTTGTGGAAGATGATCTAAGGCAATTATCGTTACTTGAAGTATTTATTATTCTAGATCATGTGCCTCAAAAGATTGAAATGTACAAGGGTTGCATAAGCCTTCAATAAAAGGAAGTGGTGAAGGGCTGGCTTCCTAAGCTATCTCCTGGTGGTTAATACCTTAGCTATGCATTTTTAAGATGATGTAGAACAGTGTTGAAAGTGGCTAAGAGTACAGGGGAATGATATTCTAGCTCCTTTGTGGAAGGGCTCACTTGTATGCCACTTCTAAAGGTGCAAGCTACTTCAGGATGACAGCAGACTGATTTGTCAGAGGCCAAAAGAACTATACCCTTCAAAAGACCCAATCTGGCTTCTCTCACCATGCTTCCTTCCTTCTCTTCTCACCTTTTCCCCTTTTCTTCTCCAATGGGAGAACGTGGGAGACAAGGGAGAGGAGACCCTGGAGGGATGAAAAGAAGAGAACGATTTCAGTTCCTTTTACTTCCCTGTTGCAAGCTGTGCGGCGGAGTTAAAAATATGTAATTTAGTTTCCAAATCTATTCCAACCCCTGCCGGCCTACTGAGCAATCACAAACCATCCAATTTCAATTCAAATCTTTGCTTTTAGCTTTATTTTAAATGGAACACAGCTAAGTTGTATAAACAGATATAAAGTAAATGCTCTACAAAGAGCAGAAGTAGGATTAAAGGAACCAGGAAGTAAATCTGTATTTATAGCATACTGGTCAAAATCTGAATTGTTTTCATTTTATTTTTAAAATACCAAACTTTCCACAAAGTATTGAAATGTCAAGAAGGGACCAAACTTGTGGTATCCAAGAGTCTGTGCTAAGAATGCGTTTTCTTATTATTTTCAGTGATGCTCATTTATAACATCCTGTAAACAGATTGCATGGTTTCTGCAGGTGAGAATTACTAGTCCCCTGTCACATTTGGTATGCTATGCATTTACAGAGAATGACCCATTCCTAAAAAATGAATCACCTTTACCACAAATATTTATGAGCATAGCCAAAAAAATTGTGTGATATAGTAAATTTTTAATGATTAAGCAACTGCTAACACTTGAAGTAAGGTGAATTCAACATCTTCCCAAAAAACTATAAAAGTATCTCCAGGTGGGTAATGCAGATCACTTGGCAGTGACAAGTAGGATGACTAATAATGCCTTTGAGACATTTCAGCAGTACTGCAGCTAGCCAAAATCTAGTAATGGCTTACATGGATGGATTTCATTCATTTTACTGTCTGTATAATATTATGGGAGAGGGTAGTTGGTATAAAGGATGCATCTACAATGGATTCCCTCTTCTTTTTGAGTTATATTTGTATTATAACCACCTGGGCAGATATTATTTTAACTTTCATCATTTAATAATAAAACCATATCATCTCAGTTATAATTTTTCACCTTAATTTATGTTCAGGTACATCAATGCTCTAATAAATATTTAAACTCATGTGATTTGATATTTCTGTTATTTTTTTCCTTACTTAAAATGTCATGTTTAAAACCTTTATGGGCAGATAAGTCCTCTTTTATTGATACAATATAGTCTACAATGATATCACATCATCTGAAATATTCTCCACAGAATTCTTTTTTGGATATAAAGTGATAATTTCCCAGTCACTTGTGAAAGATCGTGCATTGATAAATGATTCACTTCTGCAAGGAAACCTCTTTTCAGATTCGCATGAAGGCAAATGCCGTGCTGAGCATCCTACTGCTAGAGAGGCAATGTGAGAAGAACTAGGAGAATCTTTCATCCTTCTCATCCAGATTTATCACTGTCAACATGCAAAAACTCAATTAATACCTTCAATGACCCCCTATAACCTTCTCAATAAAATCCAGAAGAAAAGTTGGAATCAGAAGACCTGATTCCAGCCAACCATTAATATGCTATGTGTTCCTGTATAAATGACTTTCCATTTCTAATCTTCAGTGTCCTCATTTGTTAAATGAGAAGAACCAGACTAATCAGACTCCAAAAAATCATCCAGTTCCACTCTCTCCTCCAAGTCTATTTTACTTCTGATAATTCTTTCAAACTCGAGACCATGCCTAATTCTGCCCTCTTTCACGGGACTGTCTTGCTCCCTCTCCCTTTCTCCATTCTCTCCTCCTCCTATCTCCTATATGCTCTCAATAGGAAGCTTAACGTGCCCTGCGCTGCTAATATCATGTGATGCTCGCCACATAACATCTGATGTCCTGTCAGTCTTCATGGGTTTGTCTCTGAAATATACAACCTGACCTGGTTTCACATCCTGCCCATGCCACTTACCAACTGTGAACTCGAACTGATTACTTAACTTCCCAAGCCTCAATTTCTTCATCTGTAAAATGGGGATAGTAAGAGCTTATTCTCAGTAATGGCTATAAAATGCCTGGTATATATGAAAATTCAAATAAATAAATAAAATATTAGTGGTTATTCTTGTTACTACCACTATGACTAGAGATTCCTTTAAGATAGAGCCTGCATCTTGTTCAACTCATTTCCCAGTGGATAATTAGCTCAGTGTAGTTGGAAAGAACATGGACTTGGTAGTCAGAAGACCTGAGCTGACACTTGGGGTGAAGTCATGTGTTCTCTCTGAAATGGACTGAGCGGGTGTTTGAGGGTAGGAATTATATCTTGAGATTCTGCGAACATAGTGCCTAGCACAATGCTTGCCACATAAATTATCATTATATAAGCAAAGGGAATATGAACATGCAAAATAGCAACAGTACTGCTAATGGATGTGCCTCTATTATAGTCATTATAAATACTTAAGGAAGAAATAAAGCTGAAACACCTCTGACTCCAAAGTCTTAGGAAGGAGGTAAATGCCATCTCCCCAAATAAAGTAAAAATTCATCCCACTGTGGAAGAGAACAGGAAAGGACTGGGTTCTCTAGCAGAGCAGGCAGCTTCATGCCCCAGATTCATGTCCTAGGTAGAACACAGTGTTGAGGTTTTGGCAAAGGGACAGATACCACGTGGGAGGACAAGGGACTTCGGATCAGTTGCCTCAAGTGCAACCTGCTCTGAGCAAAGTGGCCAGGTGCAAGGGAAGTCCACTCTCAGGGCGCAGCTGGGCAACCGAGCCCCAAGTTCCCATTTTTGATTCTTTCCCTCCAACCTCCCCCACCCAGTAGTCAGGTCCCGGAAGGTAATTAGTGTGGGGGAGAGGCAAAGCTTCTGAGTCGGCAGGGAGATGGGAAAGTACTGGTGGGGGCGGTCTTCTTGTCAGAGGTCTCATCAAGGGAGGGGGGAGGGAGAGAGAGAGGGAGAGAGATTTTTCATTTTTCCACTCGAAGCATACCTAATGATACACAGACAGGCAGACGGAGAGAGGGACAGACAGGACACACTTGAGCATTTGAAATCGTTCATACCCCCAAATCCAGGACGCAGCCTGTTGTCATAACCATCGAGTAAGCTGTCCAGGATGCGGGTAAAATTTTCCGGGCATAATTTCTCCTCTTTTTGGTTCTGTCCTGGGGATTCGTTTAAACTGCGAATGCAAAAAAAAAAAAAAAAAAAAAAGACAAAACCAAACAAAAAAAACGGAAAACGGCAGAAGGGGTTGTTTTAAGAATCAATCACAGAACAGGTGGAAACAGGTTTATCTTCTAGGGAAAGAGTCTCTTGCCCCAAGCAGAAGGAGGCAGGTATGAAGGATGGGGGATAGAGAAATGGTCAGGAAAGGCGCACCCTGTGCACACGCAGCCCAATACCCATACTCTTCTTGCACCGGGTGCCCCTTCTGCTTTCCGCGTCTACTCCGTCACAGAAAAGCCCAGGTGCGGCCCCTGACCTTACAGCGGAGACAGGAGGGTCTGGTTTGCCCCGGGAGGGGCGGCGGCCGGCGGGGGCCCGGAGCTGGCCACTTCTCCACCCTTGTCCCTCAGGACCCCGGGGAACTCACCAAGCCGCCAGGCACAGGAAGTGCAGGAGGGCGAAACTGACCCGGGAGGACGTAGCGATCGCGGGTACCTTCTTGGCAGAAACCATCTTTGCAACATGCCATACTTTAAGCCTGTTCACGTTTCCAGGCTCTCAAGATGCCCTGAGCAGGGTGCGAGGCGAGGGCAGAGGCTCTCCGCGGCGTGCGCACACTCGCGCTCACACTCGCCCGCGCTCACACTCGCCCGCGCTCAGCCAGCCCGAGCCGCGGTGGGCGCGTGTGTGCACGCGGGCCAGGGGGAGGCGGAACCTGCCTTCCATCGCCCCCTCCTTTTCTCGCTGAGCTCCCAATGTGTATGGAGAGCTATGTATACCGCTCAACACCCTTTCGTGCCCGCACCGTGAGGCTTCCGAGGTTAACATTGGCGCGCTTGCACCGAAAGGCTGAGCAAGTTCTTTCCAACCTTTAACTCTGCCCCCCCTCCACGACCGCCATCCCCAACCCCAGTGGGTCCCTGCCCACAGCATTGCTTTGCCTTCACTTTTTTCCCTCCTGACCACCCCCCCTTCCTGCTGGGATTTGGATTTCACCAATGAAGTTCCTCTCTCCTTAGGCTGGTTGTTCGAGGACCTGTTTTGTACCCATTTTCAAGACTGGAGGTGGAGAAGGAGCTGGATGACTGGAATGGCTGGGCATGGGGATGGGAGACCGTGGTGAGGACCAGGGATCAAGTATGGACAGAAACAAATTTTGGGACTCTTCCCTTCAGGTGCTTGGGGAGGGGGAGGTGGGGGGGGGGGCGGGAAAACAAAGAATATTCTTCCTCCTAAGAGGGGCTGCAATTCACTGGACAGACTCTCGCCAAACTTAGAATGTGGCCTTGAGCTTCATTCTGTACTCAACGTATTTGCCAAGCTGTTGCTGTAAAGATACCAAGTTCATTTACTATACTCCTTCCTACCTGGCACACACTCTCAGCTTTGCTGCTCCATCCATTGCTGGAGAGGAGAGGGAAGGTGAAGGCAAGGGACATCTGGTCAAAATCCCTTTCTCCTTTTGTGACACTGGACGCTCTTTTATAATAGAGCTCACTGACTTCCAAAGGTTGACCACTTTAGGAAGAAGGAAAGGTTGGCTGGGGAGAGGGAGAGGAGAGAGACAGAAGAAAGACAAAATGTGAGGTGTGTTTGGAGGGGTGGAGAGGGATGGGAAGACAAAATGAAGGGGAACACCTCTTAGTTCACTAATGAATTGAAAGGAAACACTAAACACTACATCTTTAGCGTTTTGTTGAACAGAGATAAGCACTTTCAATAGACCTTTTTAAAACGTTAATTATTGGTTTTCTGGGGGAAAGGTGTCTTTCACATTAATAGTGATGTGGAAAGTTGCATATGATGGACCAAAGAAGCATGTGGAAAGTTGCATATGATGGACCAATGACCTAAGTAATTTCCAAAAGTTTCCCTGGAAACTATCACCACCAATAACTATATTCTGTTTAGAACTTCCATGGTTTGTTCAAATTTTGTCGACTGGTGGGCTGATTTGATATGAAAACAATCAAACCAAGGGAATTTTAGGATTTTGTTTATTTTTGCTTGTTTCAATATCCTGATTAAAATTTTCTTTGCAAAGGGGAAACCTTTCTGATTGCCAGAAGTACATAATAGCAGAGGTATGTACTTCCATGATATTCTATATTGTTTCCGTCATAGTGTCTATTACACTTCATCTTAATCCCATAGGTATCATTCTTCTCTAAAAGATCCCTTGAGGGTCTCGGCTGGATAATTATTATTTATCTGTATTTTTTTTCTCTTATTATAATACATGGTACATAGTACAAAGATAATAAATATTTATTGAATGAACAATTAAACAAATTAATAATTGCTTACTCCCAGATCCATCCTAATTAATTTGGATGAAATTCAAGCTTACTCTCTTGGGGAAAAAAAAAAAGGTGAAAATACTAGTGTACTCCCGTATATGCCATGAAAGCATTTGTTTTCATAATTCTCCACAGAAAAGCTGATAATACATCATATTATCATTATATCACATATATTGTTTCTCCAGTCTTAATGCTTTCCTCTACCTTCTAGAACCCAAATCAGAATTTTCTATTTTTCTTACAATATCCATTTAAAATATTATATATGTATATATAATATATATACAAATACCTCCTATATATATATATATATATACACACAAAAAAAAATAATGGCTTTGGGAAAAGAGGTTTAATTATTGTTAAAGATAAATTATTTTTAAAATTCTGGGGCGCCTGGCTGGCTCAGTGGTTAAGCGTCTGCCTTCGGCTCAGGTCATGATCC